GGCTCTATCCTTTTGAGTATACAGAAATCAGAGGCTAGTCAAAAGGCTATCAGAAATAGATCGAACATTAAAAATTTTGGAACTATCGGACATAAGTGAGGGGCATAGCCAGACTTAGTTATATTATAGCAACATTATTTTTAGCAATTTTTTTAGCAGACTTAGTTATGTTATAGCGATATTTTCTTAGCAATCCTCGCATGTAAATTTGCTCAATCTCAAGTCTATAGGATTAAGAGACTTCAACTTATAATAGGAAATCTACACAATGACAATATTATTACCACGCCTCTAGCAGGCGTCTTTGTTGTATTTACTTCACTGTAGAATAGAGGATAGAAAAGAGAAGAGTCCAGGTCTTGACTATTGCATATACTTTATATGTATATCTGTTTAAAATAGACGTGGATGCCATACCCATATATGATATACATCGAGCAGAGATCTAAACTCCAACTCTCTAGCAAACAAGCTCACTCCTAGAGAAACACTTCACACAAACCAATATACTCTCCTTGCACTTATGAGCTCGAGCACGTATCCGCGGCTCACATTGCCCCACTACCGCTCAGCTTCCGCAACAATAGTCTAGGTTTCTCTCTCATGACACGTCTCGGATGTCGAGTGCGCTTATTAACAACTTCAGAATAGGCCGCACTTCATTATGGCTCGGCCCACCCGCTGCCGATTGAGCCATAAATTATGCCAGCCATATGCAAAATGGCAACAGTTACCGCAAAGCGCGCGAGGTGGCGCCGGGAGGCGTGCGGAGTGCGGGGCGTGGCACACGTTGCACAGATTGAGTTGTCGCGGTAAAATTGCATAAACAAATGGGAAAACAATTTGTGGGCGTAAAGCGGCACGTGACCACAAAACCAATTTACCGAGCAATGTCCCCCGGCCAAATGAGAAGCGCAGAGAGCGGCAACAGCGCCGGCTGCGGCTGTGGCGATGTGACGATGGCACGCGCAACCAGTGTTGCCAAACTATTTGGCATTTAGGCGTTAAGCGACATTTTGTGACATTTTCTCATTATGCGCAGACGAATTTGCCTGGGCGTTGCCTGGGCGAGTGGTGTGAGTGGTGCGAGTGGTGCGAGTGGTGCGAGTGGTGCGAGTGGTGCGAGTGGTGCCTGGCAATTCACTTATGCATTTTGTTTTCCAATTACAGCGGTGCAAAATGAGCGACAGCCGCGAAACACGGCCACTATACGGCCGGAGACGCTGCGGGAGATGGAGCACGGCCGTGCGCTGCGAGAGGCAGCCGTAGCCGTTGGTGTTTTCGGGTGAGTTGACCTACTAGATGTGCTGATGATAGTGGACCCACTCACTGGTTGTCATTTGCATAACTCTCTCTCCCTCTCTCTCTCTGCTCGCGCTTGCCAATTTGCAGACCTCCTGTGCTACTCTCGCCGCCCTGCTACGGCTCTGGCCTGCTGCCGCCGCCTTGTAAGTTCTTGTACATCCCTCGCTCGGTCGCGCTCAATCGTCTCACGCACCACAGTTTCGTCCTCCACAGCTCTGGGCAGTCTGCCGACGGGACGTCTGCTGCACCACAATCATCTCAGCTCCTCCATGCAGCTGGCCTCGAATCACATGACCCATGCGAGCAGCTTTCCCATGTTCAATGCGGCTGCTGCGGCCGGACTGCACCACTCGCCCAAGGACAAGATGGGCGGCTATGGGGTCGCCATGGAGCTCTCGAGCAGCGGCAACATCTCTCACTCCACCAACTCGAGCAGCAATCACAGCATCGATCCCAGCTCACCAGCGCCAGATGCCACAAGGGAGGAGAAGAACAATGCCGGCGGGAGCGTCTCCTCCATAAGCTCCTCCAGCCCAACGCCAGAGAATGATAATGATGGTGAGTAGAGATAGTATAGGGATGCATAGCATAGAATGATATGGTGAATGATGAGTCTTAAGAATAAAGGACGAAAGCTTGAGTTCCATCGGATAAATAGATTGATTAGAGGATTTTGCATTACTCTTTTCATTATAGATATAATTTTCATAACTTTCAATGTTATTCTAATTGCTTAACTTCTTCTTTTACTTCTCGTTCTCTTCATCATCATTATTAGAATTATCATTATCATTGGAATTGTCATTATGATTATTATCAACCTCAACATTTCCACATTTTCTCCTTTGCAGACGACTCGATAGACGTGACCAACGATGAGGAGCCCAATACGGGCAGCAGATCCGATTCCAGCTTCATAATGCCCCAGTTCATGTCGCCCAATCTCTATGCGCATCAGCATGAGACGGTGTACGAGACGAGCGCGCGGCTGCTCTTCATGGCCGTCAAGTGGGCCAAGAATTTGCCCAGCTTTGCAAGGCTTTCGTTTCGCGATCAGGTCATCCTGCTGGAGGAGTCCTGGTCGGAGCTATTTCTGCTGAATGCCATACAGTGGTGCATTCCACTCGATCCCACGGGCTGTGCCTTGTTCTCGGTCGCCGAGCATTGCAATAACTTGGAGAATAATGCGAACGCTGATAATTGTGTTAGCAAAGAGGAGGTGAGTGGAGGAGTACAGCTACAGTGGAACATCAATAACATCTCTCTCTCTCTCTCTCTCTCACTCTTTAGTTAGCTGCCGATGTGCGTACACTGCACGAAATCTTCTGCAAGTACAAAGCGGTTCTCGTAGATCCCGCTGAATTCGCTTGCCTCAAGGCAATCGTGCTCTTCCGACCCGAAACCCGAGGCCTCAAGGATCCAGCGCAGATCGAGAATTTACAGGATCAAGCGCATGTAAGTTTATCTCTTTCTCACTCTCTCTCTTTCTCCTAGCCTATCTAAACTGTTCCATTTCCATCTATTCCCAGGTCATGCTCTCGCAGCACACGAAAACTCAATTCGCCGCTCAAATCGCTCGCTTTGGTCGTCTGCTGCTCATGCTTCCGCTTCTTCGCATGATCAACTCACATAAGATCGAATCGATCTTCTTTCAGCGAACCATAGGGAATACGCCCATGGAGAAGGTCCTCTGCGACATGTATAAGAATTAGTTAATATTGTCACTTAAGTTTTTACGATTGTCTAATTTAAATAAATATACGCATATGTTTTTTGTGTCTTGGATGTTAAAGTGAAAGGAGTTTTTATGGGGAAATTTCAGAAATCTGGGCTTAATATGCTGTTGTAAAACGAATTTAGACTATATCAAGCCTCTATTCTATTCGTTTTTGCTCTCATTTTTATTCCATTTTTACGTATTTTCTTACCATTTTCGTTCACCTCATGTGTTTCATTCCATTTCATTCCTATTTCTCTTTTCTTCAAATGATTGACAGAAACAGTTTACAGCCACACAAACTTTTGAAGGACACTGACTGTGGTAGTTGTCCTCGCTAACTCAAGTCAGGTCCCTTCTAATTGAACGAAGCCTACCTACTTGACGATTTATGCAATACACAAACCTACTCACTTGACGAACTAATCGAACACCGCCACATTATGGAAACCTATCGTAATCGTACTCGCCATCGAACAAAAGCTGCCTGCTGTGCCTTATCAACTGCCACACATAGCCGCTAGATGCCGCCTTAAAAGGCTCTTCGTGTGTCGTATCAGTTGGATGCTGCAAACTTCAGGAGCAGGTTCTGATTGGAGTCGCTGCTGCTGCTGACGGATGGCATTGGAATGCGCTCCACAAACAACACAAAAGAATAAACGTGAAAAACAGCACAAAAACTGCAATATAATAATGAATAAATTAATTGCAGCTAATTAAGTTGATGTGCGCTTATTGTACAAGTTCAAAGCCGCCAACCAAAAAATTGGCTAAGGCCAAAAAGTGAAAAGGCAGACAAAAAGTCTACTGGCGTAGGTGTGTGCGTACGAGTGCGTGCTTATATATGTGTGCGTGTGTGTGAGTGTTGTGGGTGCGCGCAGCAACAAAAATATAAATAAAACACGCGCCCCTCGCTCTCGTCGTCAATGTCAATGGGAAATGCAGTTGATAAAAAGTGAAATAAAAGGCCTTTAATTGCCGCTGCAGTCAAATAAATCATCAAACGGAAAATATGAAAGCATCTCTGGAATTTCGTGTGTAAAATTAGAAGCGCACACACACACTTCAGAAAGTAAAAGAAAAACAACAAAAAATAACTATATCAAATAGAAGATACAAAATAGCAATGCGATGGGAGAGCCGAAACGGCAACAGCTCTGCCTCTGTCATGCCACTGCCCGCTCATTGCCCACTTCCACTTCCTGCAGCATATGCCAACACAGCTCCAACAGGAACAACAGCAAAAGCAACAACAACAAGAGCGCGCGCTGCCGTTACTGGGGATGCTGCCTGTGAAACTGCACAACTGAGCGCCACTGAGAGCGCAACGTAAGAGAATACGACACACACGTACTGTATGAGAGAGAGCGAGAGCGCGCGTTTACGTTGTATATGTGTGTGTGTGATTGTGTTGACAGGCTGCTGGCTGCTACAAGTGAGCGCGCAACTTCATTCCGATTCGAAACGTCAATGTGAACGCACGCAGCGACGCGACAGCGCAGTGAAACAGAAACGTAAGATCGACTAAAAACGCGTAAGAGATCGAACGGTTTTTATGCGGGAAAACGAAGCAAGGCATAAAGTACGCGCGTGTGTTTGTGTGTGTGCGTGTCGACAGCAAGCGAGCCAATAACAATAACAATAACAATGCCGCACTGCTGAGTTGTTGTTGATATTTTGTGTGTTGAGCACCAGCAGGATATTTGAAACGGTGTGCGTGAGCGAAAGAGCGCGCGCGTCTGTGTGCGTGCGTTCTTCACTATGTGAAGTGTTCAATTAAATGCATAATATGTATATTGATAAGTGTGCGAGTGTGCGTGTTTGTGTTTGTGTTCCTGTATGTGTATGTGTGCACACACATAGGCAGCTGGCGGCAGCGACTATATGAAATATATTGAAGCACAGGATACGCAAAGCAAACAAAAACAACAAAAACTAAAGTGTATAGGCGATAAGGTTACAGATGTCCCAAGCAAACACACACACCTAGACAGATAGATAGAGAGAGCGTGTGTGTGAGTGTGTGTGTGTGCGACACAATTCGGGCTGGCTTTAAAAATACAAAAACGGAAAAGGATACGCAGGACACTTGCATACAATAACAGCGTGTAACTGGATACATGTTTACTCATAAGCGGCCGCTGCTGACATCCACGCCCAACACTGTCGCACTGCACCAGACTACAAATAACAACAACAACAACAACAACAACATCGACGACGACAGAAGGAGGAACAGCAACAACATCAAGAAGAAGAATAAGCAGAAGAAGAAGCACAACGCGTAAGTAGCTGACAAGCTTAGCTATAATAAGACGCCCCAGCCTGGACTTGGACAGCAAAAGTTTCTTCGTTTATTTTTGTGTCCAAGACAAAAGCCAACTGAGCTCTACACTGAGCGAAATGTCTCTATTGTCCAAAACTCAAAATAGTCACAGATAAAACTGAATTAGCTGGACATTTACTTCATTGGTCAATTATTTATTCAATCTTTCCAATGCAATTTTAAATACTTTCAAAGTCAACTTCAGTGACTCCATCATTTCTTCAAGTGTAATGTTGTGGGCAGTGTGTGTGTGTGTGGGATGGGGTTGCGGAGGCTTGGGCTATTGCAAAGGGTTTACAGCCGTTGACAGAGGCCGCTTCCTGCGCCGCTAAGTATGCAATTCTATTTTTAAGCGCAAGCGAAGTAGGTGAAGTGCAGCGCGGGTGCAATTGCAGCAGCAACTGCCAGAGCCAACTGCCATAACCCACAGCACACACATTAATACTAACATAACATAGTCGGACACACACAAAACGTATTCAAGTGTAACTAAAGACGACCAATTCACAAACAAACAAACAAACAAAAGTGCAGAACGGACGCCAGCGAACCATGAGAAGTGTGAGAGAGGGAGGAGGAGTGGAGAGGGAAGAGAGCAGCTGCAGGCTGAGAGGGGGCGAGCAGGCAGAGTAGGAGTTGGCTGTTAGGCAGGCGCTCGCACGGGTCGCACAGATCGCAACGTACAGCTGACAGACGAGCAGACGGACAGACGGACGGACTGAATGAATGACAGAAGGACAGAGGCACAGAGGGACGGACTGGCATTCGGTCGTAGCGCTAATGTTTATTATGAAAAGCGTGCCCTTTTGAACGCCAGCGTGTATTTTCATTTTTATTTAGATTTCATTTTTAGTTTTTTCTTCCCCATTGAAATACACTTGCCTAGGGTATTTGAATATTGTCACGAAATGAACTTTGAACTATTTAAAGGAAATACAAATATGTATATGCGTTTATATATATGTACATATATTTATGAGCTCTTCATCAGCCTCAGCAATGCAGTTGCAGTTGCAGTTGCTGTATTCTTATCAAACTCTAAGAGTCTTAGCTCTCATTCTATCCTTGACAACTTGACATAGGTACTTGTACATTGATTGAGGCTGAACATTATTATCACAAGGTTCATTAAACACAGTGCTCTAAAATTTCGGAATATATTTTGAGCATAAACTGAGCAGAATATGATTAGAGTTTCTAGTAGTAAAGCAATTGCTAGCATATGCCGTAACATACTATGGATCCATAGCTATAATGGCTAGATTTGCTGACTTCTTATATATTTATATATATTGGAAATGCGTATCAAGCTTTATGCTCTTAAAATTAAAGCCATAATTCGATCATGCAGAAGTAAAATCTTTCATGGATTAGCAAGCAGCTTTCATAAATGGAATCCCTATGAACGTTCGGAAACTCTTAAAGGTACTATATGATGTATAACTTATCTGCATACTATTAAGATATATGCCCAATGTTCACTCTAGCTAGGGTATTTAGTCGTCTAGCGTGTATTCCCATTTAAAACTCTAAAAATTTTATTTATTTTTTATTTTATTTGTTTTTTTTTTACGATTTTGCTGCATGTGTATTTGTATATGGAATATATTTTGAATGTTGTTCTTGTCAGCGCGAGGGTCGCTGAGAGCAGTAGAAGAGGAAGAGGGAGGGAGGGAGGCGGCAGGGCTGAGGGGGAAGCCCTCATAATGAGTGCGCGACGGCGGCGGCGGCGGCACTTAATGCATTGATAAAAAGATGCAACAACAACTCGCACAACAACAACACAACAACAACTTGTACAACATGCCACAAGCACTGGCGACACTCGCACAATTACAGTTATAATTTTTGGGCATATAACCGTTATTCAAATACATAATTCGAAATTCAAATGCGTGTTGCAATTACCAACCCCCCTTGGAAGCGAGGGTTGCCCGTTGACTAAGCGCCCACATATCAACATATCCAAAAATGTTCTTTCCATGATATCACCTAGACCTCGGGGCCAAACAAGGTGCCCATAAAACTGCGGCACCATAAAAACTGAGAACTGCGCACAGCGAATGGAACATCAAAAGTCAATGGGATACAAATAGGTTTCGTCTGCTGTTTCTTCTATTTTCTATCTTTCGAGTTGACATTTTTGGCTATGAAAAATTTGTCTTATTAATGGTTTTTATTTTTATTTATTTTTTTGGCTGGGAAGTAATTAAAGTCATTTGGAAAAATTGTAAAAATCTATAAATTTTCTAAGGATTAGTCACAGTTCCATTGAATATGGGCAGAAAATTAGTAAATTAATAAGTAATATATGGTTTATTTGAGTTTGGCATTATATACGATATTCGAGATGATATATAGACTACTTAGGGATCAGCTTAACTAGTGAAAATATCTTTGATGTATCAATAGAGGAAGCTAATGGTATTATTTGTGCATAAATTAATGTAGAAAGGAGGGAAATGAATTATGGAAATTTATTAACTAAGTATTACAAAATTTTAATAAGTTTTTGACTTTTAAAAATATTCTCCCTTCTGCAGGGCTCTCAAATTGTATTCTTAAATAGTCAAAGAGAGAATTCAACGAAAAGTTCAACTTTGATCTCCGATCATTGACCAATCGAAATCGAAAAGCACAAATTACCCATCGGTTGCCAAATTAGTCGATTACATAATATTATCGTATTCCTTCCACTAGGATTAACACCAATGAACCACCATAAATAAAGAACTATCTCATGAAACCCCTACAAACATCAAATGCCAAACAAATCAATCAATTGATGCGAAAAGTAAAGTCGAAACTCCCTTAGTAATTGTTGGACTAATTTCCAAAGTAATTGCAATTGGATAATATTATATATGATTAAGAAGCGGGTACTCCAGCGGCGACCCTCGTATGCAGCGCTGTCGCTAACGAGTGGGCAACAAACAATCGCCAATTGGCATATAATGATGCCCTTTTCAATGTGCCTGATTGACTGACTGACTGACTGACTGAGTGACTGGGGGACGGACTGACGCACTGAGAGATTGACAGCTTGACGAACTGCCACGAGCAGCAGCGACATTCAAAATAATTCTCAGGCTTTGACAAAAATGCAATGAATATAATTTGAATGCGACGAGCGATGTTTCAATTTATGCCCGCTCAGCTGGTGAAGAAATGGGGCATATTTGTTGATGGGATGACATAATCTCTGAGCCTTGAGACTTTATACTGCTATGAGGAAGGTATACAGAAACAGAGGCAATTATATCTATATATAGGAGTTTCTTATGGGATTGGGAGTGTGACAAATCTAAAAGCCAGTTAAGAGAAACTATACAAACTATATATTCCTATATTCAAGGCCATTGAATCTTACGCCTTAGACTCTGAAGCTCTGGGCTCACTAGATATTTTTCTATAGTTTGATATTTCTTCTTCTCTCATAAACTTAGTAATTCGAGAAATACTTAAATATTCCATGTACCACATTTTAAGATCATTATGGTTTCCAGTTGGATCACTAAATTTCTCTATAACTGATCTGTAAATGATTTCATAGCTTTAGCTTCAAGCAAGCATCAAGCCGTCAATTCCACCCGACTGCACAATTCTTACGTGTTTTTTTTTCTGGCATTTGATATTTGGTCTTTGCTTTTATTTTTTAACAATTTACGCGAGCTGTTACCCTTTCCAAGTCACACGCTCACACACACGCACACACACACTCACACATAGGCTAGTCATAATTTTTAGGGGTTGCTGTACAAGTTAGAGCTTACAGCTGTTGTTCTACTCCACCTCCTGCTCAGTGTGTGAAACAAGGGTTCGGGTCTAAGGACAAGCCAGCGTCTATTGGCATGGGAACCATGTCCATGGGATATACGGATAGGGACAGGGATAGAGCATTGAATTGTGAGGGGGAATGGGAACGGCTACGGTAGGAGCGAACATGAGCCATCGAACATCTTTCGACTCCTGCGGTGATTAATTGTCATTTGAGCAGAGCCCCCAAAAGCCGAAGAAGAAAGAAGACCTAAGAACCAAACGCATGTTACAACTCGGCAACAGCTACCTACACATGAGGCATCTGATATCTACAGGCATCTATAGGTATAGGGGCATTCGGGCTCAGCGCCTGCGACTTAACATTGGATTAGATGTCGATCATCGATCTACATGGAAATAGAAATAGGTGCGTAACTGCCTTTTGTCTAGCTCAAACAGACGAAAGCCGAATGCCGAATGCCGAAAGGTAGGTAGCCGGATAGCCCATCATAAATTGTGGTCTTTGTATCGGGTACAACTATCTAGGGAAAAATGGAAATGGGCATTAGCATGCAACGTTGATCAATTTGTGAGTTACCGTATGTCCATTATCTGCGCATGCAACTTAAGCGTATTAAGGGTAGAAAGTTGGAGAAATTGTCAGAGCTGACCTTAGCTAAGGCGGAAATACCTATCTAGAGTTGTTTCAGAATTCTGAAGATAGCGAGAAAAGGCAACAGGCAGATTAATTCTGCTAAGTAAAATCATTAATTTTGCATTTAAAATTGACAAGAAATAATTGAAGGGGGAGAGAAAATAAAGAAAATCTATTAGTGAGCACAAAGAAGGTTGGAGTTGTTGGAGTTTATAAACTGACTCTTTGTGAACTATCTAGTCTTCATATTTCATTCACCTTAGATTAGAGTTAGCATTGTTGGTATTGATTGCAATGCAGTTAGCTATATTAAATAAATATTTTGAGTAGACTATAAATGTTCTCTGTTTTTTCAGTATGATTTTTAAGTAGACTTCATTTCAGTTTAAGTCTTGAATCTAAGATTGTTTACACTAAAAGCTGGACTTAAAGCATATGCAGAAAGTTTGTTCTATAAACGTATTCCTTTGGCAATCTAAAAAAAAGTTTTAAAATATTATAATTTATAACAAATTGAAGATATAAATATATATAATATAATGCC